AAATTGTACCGTTATAAAATCGCCAACAGCTCAGTATCTGTAGTTTTTTAAACAGACTTTATTTTGGATTAGATATGCATCATATCTCCACTATGATATGCATCATGTCTCCGCTATGATATATTCAGCTTTTCAGCCTCGTAAGAAGCAACAGCAACAATAACAACAGAGTCCTTGGTTTGAGAGAAAATGCTACTTTTATTATTTTTATCTAGTATTTTTCCTCACTTGATTATATTGCCTCCTTCATTCATCTAGAGACAATGCTATATTCTGTTTTCATCGTTTATTATTAGAATTAATGAACTTACACTTTTTAATCATTAAATTTGAATAAAATACTAACTTCTTTGCTCTTCAGTTGCTTAGTTGTCTTTTAACTACGTGGGAACTGGGCATTCTTTGCAGCACTGTTAAAATGGATTCTGACTGGGTTTTCCTACAGAGTATGAATTAGTTGTAGTATTTCATTACTTCATGTCATGGTTGGTCTTATAAAAAGTTTATTTTATTGGAAACATTCTGGTCAATAAATTGTCATAACCTTGATCCAATATGAAAAATATATTAGCAGTAAAATCTGTTTACTGATGCAAATACTGTATAAAGATATTACCACTTAAAATTTTGTAATGGTTTTGCTTATATGTGTAAAAATTGTGTGTCTTTTTCTGGAGCAATGTTTCTCAAACTATATATTGCAGCTTCCGAGGGAGTTAATGAAAGGTTCAAAGAGTTTTAAAAAACATTAAAAAGAATTTTAGATAGTATATATCAAATATTAATTACACTAATTGTTTAGAGAGCAAAGCAAAAATAATATGCTGACTCACTGGGGGCACCCTCTCAGTTCCTTCAGGGTTGGGGGTGGGAAAAGCAGCAATAGATCTTGGCAGCAAGAGGGAGGTAGGGACTGCAGGACAGAGCTAACTGGGGACAGAGCAGCTTCTGGAGGAGAGGGGAGTTAAGTGTCTATGTGCTGTCTGTCAGTACTTACAGGGACTTCTTATTTCCCTGTGTTAGTGAAACTGAGCTGCTGTAAGTAAAGACAGTTGGTTATCTGTTCCCTGGCCAACTGACAATTTGGGAAAAGGTCCATAAAGACTAATGATCCTGAAGGAGGATGGTGCATCCAAATTGTTTGAGAAACGGTACTCCAAAATATATTTAAATATGGATTTTGTGTCTGTCATTGTGGGTTAAGACTGATGCAGGGTCTTTTGTGGGACATTTTTTAGGCTATTCCAGTTTTAATATGTAACTTCTAAACTTTCTCTGTCAGGCTATTCCCATGGGTCAAGTATTTTTGGACCTGAAAACTTTGTAGTTTTATTGCTGTTTCAGCAATCCCACTTGCCCTGGCCAGCCTACCAAAAGGGACTGCAGCAGAAAAAAGCTCTAGTCCTTGGAAGAGAATTAGCTCAGTGATAATAACACTGATCTCCAAGGCACCCAATTCAGAAATACTTGAAAGGAGTTCCTTGTGTTTTTCTGTTCAGTGTGCCTGCATATGGTCCACTGAATGGCTGCCATTGAACTGGAGAGCTACATGAGCCGATTTACTTGCCAGGTGCACAGATTGACTTGAACTGAACGGTTGAGGTCTCTCTAAATTGCAATGCAAAATGCCGTGTAGATGCACCATACCTGCAGGCCATGTTCTGAAGGCTCTCTTTTCAACCAGGAGGGCCCGAAGACTTTTAATTCTTTATAAAATGAAAGCTGAACTCCTACAGCAGAAGTTACAGCAACGCTCTCAGTGTGTTGAGCTACTACCAGGAGAGAACATTTGAATGCTTTTTACCGTGTAGCAGTTCTTACTGAGCTACTGATTTACTGGTGAAGCGGTGATAAATATATTTAAAAAAGAAAAAAGTGGTGACCTATTTTTAAATTTGGATTTCCCCTTTTTTCCTAGTTACACAGCTTTTCTGTTTTTGTGGAAATAAGCTGGAGACTTGACTTTGGCAATATCACCCAAATATGGAAAAGATATGAGACATCCTAGTATGTTTTGAGACAATCCTACAGGACTGTGCTTCCACTTGTACTAGATTGTATTACAGTTTCTATCCCCTTGGGAGCTCCGGGAGCCCGGGGAAGGTGTAGCTACATTGCCATCCTGTGAGATACCACAGTCATTCAGATTCTCACCAATTACACTGTGATTTCACCTCTGAAAATATCTGACATGGGAACAGTTTGAGGGAAACCTTTTACCTTCAGGTAGCTGGATAACTTGTGTTTTTCTGTGGTAGACTGAATACCATTTCTTCCTATTGCACTCACTGTTTTAACCACCTTGCCGAGCCAAAAGATGAACGAAAATATGCATTTGTCAAAGATGCAGAAACCCCAACTGATTTCCAGCATCTTCCAGCAAACTGTTCTGGAGGACAAACCGACCTGTATGTCTGGGCTGTGTATTAGCAGGGACTGGTGAAGTGTGAAGTTATCCAATAGAGAATCCTCAGGCTTCAGCAGAATTGTTTTTTCAGAAATTAAGTCCGTATCATTAGTATTTAAACAGTTAAGCCCAGGTATTCCAGGCTGTAACACAAGGGAAATTCTTTACCTGTGTCCTCTAGTCTTCCAGCAGCCGGTCAGGACCACCAGAGGCTCATCAATCCGTTGTAAGTCCAAATCACTGTTATGCTTGAGCGTGATTTTCCGTATGTAACATAAACCATAAACTCCTATTGATTGCCACCAGTATAGTCTCTAGGGCCCCCTTTCCTCTTACCTACCTATTCATGCAGGTAAAGTAAACAGCTGTCTTCTTCCTCAAAGTGGAGAAGAGAAATCCATCTACCCAGCTTGTCTTCCTCTCGGTGCTCCTGCCAGTATGAGCCATGAACAACAGCCTGGGCTTAACAAGTGTAAACAGGGTCTAGGTCACAAAATTCTTTTGGCTTACAATGAAAATTAATTCTACAAGCTACTCAGCAAGCCACAAAGTGTACTTGTCATAGAAGTGCAAGGTATCAGAAAGGAAATAACCAGTGTTGTATTAGTAAGTGGTTCAAAACCACCTATGGCTACATTGTCACAGATGAAAATCTAACAGATAAGATTTTTGTTTCTCTGGAAGAGGGTTTTTTTGGTTTTTTTACCATTTTGCCACCAACTTTATTCTTATTTTTGCAGACTTCTGTCGTCTTCTTCTTTTAGTGGTTGTAAAGTCTTTTACCTGTCTGGTTTTGTGTGTATGTCTTTCTCCCTCTCTTCCTGTAAATACTGGCAGTCTTTCATTGGCCTGGCTACAGAATACTCACGTTAACTCTAATGAGCAAGGGAAGAATTTAGCAGTATCACTGTTTACAGGAGATGGTTTTCTAACATTCAAAAAGAGAAAACTTGTGTCAGTTTTTAGCTGTTGCTCTAAAGGTGGACTTGCAAAGTTTTAACAAAAATTTTAAGCATACATTTTATTATGTTTGAGATAAATAACATCTAACACAGCTCTGTTCCTAAAACAAGGCAGTAACTGGCTAAAGGATGAGGTTTCCTAGGTGGCATGCATTATTCTTACATACAGACTGGAAAAAAGTAACGCAATGATGGGGGCTTTGCTTGATAAGCATAAATTCGAATGGCTCATTGCTAGCTTATGAAAGGGCAACATTTTGAAAAAGTTCCTGCTGTTGAACTCTTGGGGTTTTCTGCAGCATAGGCATAATGCTACAGTGTCAAGGTTAATATCTAGAAAATGAGAACTGATTATTCTGCACAGGAATGCCCTGTTGGTCTGTCATAAAGTATTCTTAATAGTGCTGGCAGAAGGATCTTTCTACGCACCCAGTCAGTCAGTATTTAGAGCCTCTCTGCCATCAATACAATATTGGAATGTTTGTGTCCTCCAGTAGTTATTTAGGTCAGAAATTATATGTACAGTGAACTCTCTTTAATCCCACCACTTCTTTCTTCAAGGAGTTCACTTCCAAAAAGATGGAGGGGAAAGAACTCTTTCAAAGCAAAACTCAGCATTTGTTTAATTTTAGGGTATATGAAGATACTGTTGTACTTGCTGATTTGCCATTTTTCTTTTTCTTCTGCTTGAGTTCAGCTATCACACAAGCCAAGCAACATAAGGCTTTTGTTATTAGGCAGACACGTTATTAAGTAGACTAAAGCAATCAAAGTTTTCTTCTCATTTCATTTTTCTGCATCTGTATAGAGACTGTTAGAAAACCTTGCTGTAATTTCCAGCCCCACAGTGATTTAATAAACTCTTCAAATGGTTGGTCATTTTTTAGCTAGCCAAGATAGTTAAGTTGAGGAAGAAAAAGGGGTGCCTAATTCACAAGAGAGAGAGAGAGATGTGATTAAGAGGAAGGATCCTGTTTGGACTGGAATGATAGCTAGAATGCATGATTATTCTGCAAGGAGTGTACAATTTATTTACCTGTCAGTAAATGTTACTTTGTGAGGAGCGTGCCCAGGGGAGTGAAGAATAATAATAATAATCTCCAGTTTATTCTGTCTCATAGTGTGTGTGCTCTGAGGACGCAGTACCTGATTTTACAGCATCTGCAGACATAAACTGAAGCTTTTACAGTTAATTCTTAAGCTGTAGAGCAGATGGAGGGAGATGACATTCAATTTAATGCCTACTTATGCACCTTTTACTGTAAACACTAGACTTTTTCTTTACAGTGTTAGTTTAGTTAAGGAATTCACTGGATTCTGTACATTATTTACTCATTAAGATTTCACCAGTGGCTGTACTGATTACTGTTTTTATGGGCATTGGCAATAGTTGTGCTGTGCAAAAGGGAAAAAGATGTAATCAGAGGAGTCAATTTTATAAGCACAATACATGTCCATTCCTAGATCCTTAGCATGAGTGTTTTTTCAGTCAGTTTAAAAGCACACAACACATTACCACTGTTAACTATTTCTTTAACTTTCTGAACTATAGAATGTTTATAGCTTTTTCAAATAAAAATGTATAATATATAAGGATAATCTTGATTATTTCTCTCTCTCTTTTGAACCAGCCTCTTATTCCTAGAAGTCCTACAAGCAGTGTTGCTACGCCATCCAGTACTATCAGCACACCTACAAAAAGAGACAGCTCTGCCCTTCAGGATCTCTACATACCCCCTCCTCCAACAGAACCTTATGTTCCAAGGTAAAAAAGATCATTTCAGGTACAATTCAATGTAAAAAATATTGTAAAGTAACTGACCATTCTGTTCCTACCCGTTTATCAGCCTGCCCTGTGGGATTAGGCTGATAAGACTTAACATTTTGCAGGTGAACTAGTTATTAAGGGTAGACATGCTGAATCGGATCCACAATGATCTGAATCAGTGTCTTGTCTGCAAAACAGACAGTAGCCTTTAGAAAAGAAGGTTCGGTACCCTATTTTCTCAAATATGGGATAATCTGTTGTCTGTAACAGTCTCATCCTATTTCAGAAGAGCAAAAATTATCTGAAACCCTGAATCTATAACTAGGACAAGAGTTCGTATCTGTCCCCTTGCCTAATAACCATGATGCAACAAGGGAGGCTGAGCTACAAGCAAGAAACTTTCAACTTCAACAAAGAGCACTGTTTTATTCTGCCATAGTGTTTTGTTTTTTCATAGAATCATAGAATCATAGAATAGTTTGGTGGAAGGGACCTCTAAAGGTCATCGAGTCCAACCCTCCTGCTGTGGGCAGGGACATCTTCTCCTAGATCAGGTTGCTCAGAGCCCCGTCCAACCTGACCTTGAATGTTTCCAGGGATGGGGCATCCACCACCTCTCTGGGCAACCTCTGCCAGTGTTTCACCACCCTCAGC